TTATTTATACAGGTAATAGTAATATATGGTACATATCACTGAAGTAAAGTTGGTTGACATCAAAATACATACAAAGAAGGATACCATTTAAGTTTTATCTTTTAAAAAAATTATATTTAATTTGGATACAAGTTTTTTTTTCAAGGAGCGCGGTTACACTTGACACCCTTTTTTTTACTTTTTTTTAAAAAAGTCAATTTTGTAATGATACAATTTACATTACTAAATTGAACTTTATTAGCTATGTAATAAATAAATTATTTTTTATCTTTCGCTTTTTATTCTTTAAACGAGTTTTGACTGCGCAGAAGTTCCTTCTTGATAAGGGTATCTTTTATTGTATATAATCATACACGTTATCTGAGAATTTAGTTTATGTGATTGAATTACTGTGACGGTTTTCAGACTGTTCTAAACCGTTCTACATCATTCAATTTATTCGCATCGAGTAAGAGCTAGTGTTCAGAGTGTGCAGTGCAGTGCGAATATAATAGTGAATGGAAGATCCAAGTACCAGTGCAGAGCAAAATACCTCAAATTCGGAGTCAAGCTCGGAATTTGAAAGCTTGCAGAGGAAAGATGATGAACAGAAGAACACTTTAACAAACGCTTTCATTTATTGCAAGAGTTTATTGGAAGCAGAAAATCTATTAACTAACACACCACCAGCAAAAATATCGGCTGCTTCTATTGCTATGGGCGAGGAAATATTTAAAGAAATAATGTTCATGCTGGATGATCGCAGAATAATTATTGACGACGATTTAATATGTGCTGAAGAGATTGACGATTCACAATTAGATAAATATAAGGAGATACGTTTTAAATATTTGCTAATATTTTTTTTATTTTTTTATTTTTTAAACAGTAAAGGTGACATAAAAATAACATACAATTTCTTTGCTTATAGTATGTATTATGTGAAAGTGAAGAATTCGAACCAGAATTGGATTCTTTTCGCGATTATGGGTATATTCCTTTAGAATATAAAGAAAAGACGGTTGCTCTTGCCGAGATGCATCCAAAATGGAATATAAAAACTTTGCAAAAGAAAGGCTGCTCCAAATTAAAAAATAAAAAAATGCTGCGCGTATGGAAAGAAGATGTAAACGAGGAGGAACAACAATAGATAAATGGAAGTATATAGAATCGCAGACATACGAACATTTTAAAGAAGCAAGAGAATGTCTTGAGCAAGTATTAATTTAATAATATTTTATTATGAAAATAAAAAATTTCAAAAATGTAAATATAAATGTTAATATTGTAAATTAATATTTTTAGATAACAACGAGAACACTTCAGCAATGGGCGATGGCGATAGCGTTTCCATTTATTAATGATACCTTCAATTTCACTGCCAGCAGTAGTTGGACTAATAGGTTTAAAAAAAAAAATTTGGCAAAGAAAAATAACACGGTATATTAGTAATAGAGAGTTCGCATCTTTGGAGGAAATTTTGGAATCAGCAGAACGATTTCAAGTCCAAACGAGGACAATTATGTCCGACTTTAATTTGGATTTCGTTATTAACACGGATCAGACGGGATGCCAGTACCAAATTTCATACAATAGAACGCTTGCACCACAAGGATCAAAGACTGTTCTTCTAAAAAAGAAAAGCTTGCATGACATTTCGCACTCATATACGGCACAGTATACTATGTATGACTGCTTCAGGTGAAATATTACCTGTCGTTTTTTTGTGCATGCAAGAATCAACAGGAAAATTTGGCCCAACAGTTAAAAAAAAAGTTGATTATTTAATTAGCGAATATAAAAACGTTTTTGTAACGTGTTCAAAGTCAGGCAAGTTAACAAATCAAATATATACCGATTATTTAAAATATTGTTTGTCTCCATATGTTTCAAACAACAAATTTTTATTGCTAATAGACTCGTGGGGAGGTCAAACCGATTTAACATTATATGATGACATGTTTCAAGACGAAACAGATACAACATTATGTTTTGTCAAAGTAATTTCACCAAAATGTACTCCTCTTTGTCAGCCTTGCGATGTTTATTTTTATCGGCAAGTCAAAAATTTTATTAAAAGATTGCAAAATTGTTCAACATTATTACAACAACAGCGAGAAATCGGTACTCGCGAGGACGCAATAAAAATACATTCGCTATTGTTGCATCAATTAAGTGCTCCCATTTTTAAACCAATGATCTTATATGCTTGGTACGCGTCTAAATTACTAGAAGAAAGATTGGCATTTCTTAATATGAATCAGATTTGTTTTCCACTAACAGTAGTTAAAAAATTGTGCGCCTGCAAAAATGTTGGATTTATTCAATGTGCCCATTGCACAAAAATATTATGTTATGTATGTTTTTATGATGAATATCATTCGAAAGTATGTAATCCCGAAAAGAATTGTGATTCCGAAGACGATTCAGAATAATGTATTTGATTTATTATTAATAAAAAATTTTAATTGTAAATGTAATGAAAGATTGAATTTTTTCTTATTTCTTATTAATACCTTCTTCTTTCCTTTTTTATTATTTTTACTTTAAATTTTTATTTTATTGGAAATCGTACAACTTAAAATAGTATGAAGTATAATAACGCTTAAAGCATATTAAATAAATAGTTACATAATTTTAAATATAAAAAATTTTGTAATAAAAATATTAATTTTCAGGTTAAATATAAAAAAATACACACACAATAATACGATGCAATATAAATGAAAAAAAAAATTAGTAAAAATAAGATTCGAACCAGCAACACGCAACATTACAGTCAGGCGCCTTACTCGCTATGCCACGCTGCTTGTTGCGGACTCACTCTTACCGATGAGTACATTACCAACATGAAAATCTTTAAATCCGTTTTTCTCACGAATGCTTGAGAGGTGCGTCGTATCCTTTTAGCACGAATTAGTAGGAGGAGTGAACTATTATGTGTATAAAATTTAGCCAAATCGGAGGGGGCCATGTCTGGTGTTCCCATTGTGAGCGTAAATTGCGCTTTTTGGTATTCGTTTGATCTTCTTCGTTGTTCGAGGTCTCCATAAGAAGAAGGCATAACCCTGCTACAGCGCGTCGAATGAGTCCCTTGACCGTTCGAACAGTGGCCGCTCGAGCTATAGCGTCGGAACTCGAATAGATAGTAACTCCGTTACTTGGCCCAATTGCCAATGTAAGGGGGGCGCGTTGTTGCCCTTTATGAGTACCAAATCATCCACGTTGAGAGACCTCCGGTTCGTCTTCCATTTGGTACGGCACTGAAGCTCTGAAACAAACTCTGTTGATCATCGTTTCCAAAAGATTTACTGAATTTGTTGAACTCGTTGGTAGCGAGAGAGACGATTTTCATTAACATCCTTCAAGTCCAAGCTTGGTATTGTTGTCAATGTCCGACCCACGAGAAAGTGAGCTGGCGTCAGCGGCTGCAAATCTAGCGGATGAGATGACAGCGGTGAAAGGGGTCGGGAGTTCAATATGGCCTCGATTTGTACTAATAGACTATTGAACTCCTCATAAGTTAGTAGTGTGCTTCCAAGAACCGCGTTTAAGGTGATGCTTAGTACCCTTTACACCAGCCTCCCATTTCCTCCGAAATAGGGGGTATAAAGCTCCAATTAATTCTTTCTGACATCAAACGATCTTGTAACTTGCCTTCATTTGTCCTGAGAAACTCTCCCAAGCGATTCAGTTCCGAGTTAGTACCTATAAAGTTAGTGCCATTGTCGGACATGATCTTTGCTGGCCGTCCGGCGGGCTACGAATCTACGCAACGCCAGGATGAAGTTTTCCGATGAAAGATCCGATACCAGTTCAATGTGGATGGCCTTCGTGGCCAAACAAATGAAAAGACAGACATATACCTTGCTACTCTTACTTCCACTGCCTTTGCGATCTTTTACCAGGAACGGTCCGACGTAATCCGTGCCCACGTTGTAGAAGATGGGCGCTGGACAGACCCGTTCACGCGGTAATTCAGCCATTTGCGGTGAAATCCCCTTAGGCTTGTGACAAAAACATGTGGTGCATTGATGCGTGACTTGACGAGCTAGATTTCTCCTCGCTATTGGCCAATACTTCTCCCTGATATGTGTCAGCAACGCTTGAGGACCGGCATGTAGTAATCGTCGATGTGCATCTTTAAATATGAGTTTTGTTAAGTGATGCTTGGATGAAAGTATTACAGGATGTTTTTTGTCGAACTCGAACTCGGAGTGTTCTAAACGACCTCCCACTCTGAGCGTATTGTCGTTATGCAGAAAGGGATTTATTCCTAAGATACTGCTCCGCGGATTTATGGCTTTCCCAACGCGTAATGCTTGAACTTCCTCTGGGAAAGATTCTGTGCTAGCCTTATCAGTGTTGTTGATGATCGCCGAATTTCCTCGGCGTTGAGTGGTTCCTTTGGCCGCGACTTGAACACGCGTATGCTTATAAATCGATGACAGAAGGTCATTATCTTTGTTAGCCTTTCAAGGAATAGTTTTGGAAATTGATGAGACTATGCTTAGTTACTGTCACGTTGGCGCTATAAGCTGTTTCTTTAATTCCAGTGGACTGACAAGAATATTGTACCGGCCATTGTTCTTCGGCTTCTGCCAGCCATATAGGTCCGTGCCACCACAGCCTTGAGTCAACCAATGACTTAGGTGCTATTCCACGAGACAACAGGTCCGCCGGATTGTCCGAGGATGAAACGTGCTTCCAAGCGTCCGCAGAAGATTGTGTTTGTACATCTACCACGCGATTGCGTACGAATGTTTGAAGACGATGTGGTTCCATTCTCACCCAACTGAGAACGATCGT